ATGTTACGCTTTGTGGTACCCATCTCTTATTCGCAACTCCTCTCATACCACTGAATGAAATTTGATGAGACTTTCAGAGAATCTTTATTACATAATGCCATTGTTCACCTCCTATTTTACTTTGTGATCATTTTGGGTTTCCCATAGCAAAACATGCACATTGTCTTTATATTCATATTGGAGGTGTGGGGTATTTTTAGTGAGCTCATTGCTCACAATACCTCTAGTTTCTATATAAATTCATGAATGCAAGACATTTTTAAAGCCGCTTAATCCGAAACAGGCACATATTATCTTACACAATAAAAGTACGTCATTACATAGATAATATATAAATATAAATTATAAGATTGATTTAATAGTTTACTACATCAATCCTTACATGGAAAACATAGATCAAAAACCTTATTGACAAACAGAAGTTCCTGACGGGAAGTTAAGATCTGTTGTGAAGTCACCTTTGAAAAAAATAAATTTCTCGGATATACAGTGTATCTGATTACCGGGGGTATAAAGATTTTTCAAACCCGAGTATTTTTTCCATTAGTAGAAGCCTAAGTCATAATATATCTTTTAAAAATTAAGAAATTAATTGAATATAATCCAACGTAATTTTTACATGTATATTAATATGGATATTTAAAGAATAAAGGAAAATCAGATATTTTTAAAGATTTTTTAAGGAAGTTTAGTAACGAAGGCTAAAATATTGTCTGTGTACAGGTACATGTATAAGTACTTTCTTGTGAAAAAAATGCTCGGGTTTGTTCTTCATGAGATACACATGTAAGCGATAAATTTAATTTTTCGAAGGTGATTTCACGCGATATCAACATAGGATTATTTTTTGTGTGACCTAACAAAAATTATTTTTTTTAACATTTGAATTTTGATATCTTTTAAAAGAAAAAGACTTTAGGGATATAATTTGACAAAAGTTGAAACAATTTATGGACAATTATTTTTCAAGAAGAAAAACGAATATATTTTTTTTGCGATTAGAATCGGACCTAGCGGCTTTAAAAGTTCATTGAAGAAAAAACTTCGATCCATACTAAATTAATGTAAGTCAGTTTAACATTAAATTGTTGACAAATTTATTACTGAAATTTGCTCTTTTTTAATTTATCATTCCAGGTGTGTTTTTTTCACTTTTCTTTTAATTCTAAAATAAAATAAATATCAAATAACTATAAAATAATTATAAAAATCAAGTAATTCCACCTGAACTTCATTAAAACAACAGAGCATGTTCTGATGTATTTTATACCGGTAATTCAAAATTCTGCTTTATAGAAACATATGCTCTTGGCCAGGAGTGCAACAAAAATGTTAAAACTGCTGATGATCAGATATGAATAAATATGAATACATTGATGAGTAGAAAGTTTTTGGTTGACCTCAATTGCTTTCAGTGTTTGACATGTGAAGTAAAATGTACTATAAAATATAATTTTATAGTCGAATAAAAAAAATGTTTTGCTAGTTTTGTCACGTACTTAGAAAATAATCGGCAGTTCACGATGTAATAAATAAGCTTAAATAATTCATCGTGTCTTGCCCATGAAGTATTCGACATAAAATAAAGCACAAATTTTTTTACAACTTGATTTTGCCAAACTTTTTTTTCCTTTTTGTGTTCAATGTTTTATATCTTAAATTTTACTGCAGTCACAGGTGAAAAAATTGTTTGCTTTTTTTTTTTTTTTTTGTATCAATGAACTTCATCAATCTTGCTAAAAAGTAAATTGCAAATACATATAAGTGTAACTTGTGATTGAAGCCATTATATCTGTCAACAAATAACAGTTTTTGAACATTTTACAGTCAATTCATAAAACAGTTTTGTCACTATATCAAATATATTTTTATTATAACCCTGCTTGAAAAGTAAGAGGGTATATAGTGATCGGGATCTCCGTCAGTCTCCGTCAGTCTGTACGTCCGTCTGTTAAGCTTTGTGGTACCCATCTCTTCTCTGCAAATCCTCCTATACCACTGAATGAAATTTAATGAGAATTTCACATTACGAAGTGACACTGTGCACGTCCTATTTTGCATTTTGATGGGTCACATGTTTCGGGTTTTCCATGGCAAAACATTGACACTGCCATCCTTTCTATAAAATTGAATGGTACCCTTCTCTTATCCGTAACTCTATAACTCTATACCACCGAATGAATTTCGATGATACTTTCACATATTTTTTATTACATAATGCCATTGTGCACCTCTTATTTTACTTTTTGATCTAACACTTATTTTTGGTTTCCCAGAGCAAAACATGGACTTTGCCATCATAATTATGGGAGGCGGGATATCATTTAGTGCGCTAAGTCATAGTTCCTCTAGTTTTTTTTGTTTGTTTATTAAATATCAGCAAATTTTCATATTTTGAAGTCAAGGAAGTATTTGAGAAAAGGAAACCTGCCCTATATGATAAAAATTTGAAAACGAAAAACTGCTTTACAAGCATTGTACGATTTTTTTTTATGTTTTATAATATTTATTCTAAAATATACCAGATGCGAGGAGTGCAACAAACTAAAGTAAAATAGGACTATTTTAAAATCTAGTATTTTTGTAATGAATTCTTATGTATTAAAAATCCTCCTTTTTGGTTTGAATTTTAAAATATGAATTAAATGGACAAAAAAAAAATGATTGTTGGGGAAAGTTATTGAATCATCTACCATATTAAATCTTTAAAAACCAGAATGCTATTTTATGTAAAGTAACAATTAAAAAGCCAATTTCTTTAACATAATACAAAAAAAAAATTCAATCAAGTTTTAGATCTAACAATATATATCCTCGAGTTTGAAGAATTAAAAAAGTAACATTTCAATTGATTACTGTATATGCGTTAAAAACTCCTCTGATGTAGGATTATTTTCTTTTTTTCAAATAAAGTTGTACTTATAAAAAATCTATTAGCTTTCTCATACGTTAATTATCTAGTCTTTTATCCTTCTGAAATTTTAACGAGAATGACATTTATTGTACAGTATAAAGTGATAATTGAAAAATATGTCATGGTATTAAAGTTGAATTAAAAAAAACTCAATTCGCTGGTCATTATTTTTTTTAAATTAACCCATAAAACAAAGGCCTAAAGTCCTTTCTAGACAACCAGGACAAAGGAAAGACTAGAGGTAATGTGAGCTCACTAAATGATACCTCCCGCCTCCCATATGTATAAAATGGCAGTGTCCATGTTTTGCTGTGGGAAACCTAAAATATGTGTCGGATCAAAAAGTAAAATAGGAGGTGCACAATGGCACTATGTAATAAAGCTTCTGTGAAAGTTTCATCAAATTTCATTCAGTGGTTTGAGAGGAGTTGCGGATAAGAGATTGGTACCCCAAAGCGTAACAGACAGACGGACGGACGGACATACCGATTACAGAATACCCTCCCACTTTTCAAGCGGGGGCATAATAATCATACAATAACATGAGGCCCATAGGCCACATCGCTCGCTGAGTATCTATAACTATGCTGTTCTTTACCAGTTTCCCCCTTGTTAACCCAAGGGTAATGATTTGGGCGATTTAGAATTCAAACTACCACAGGATGCTTCCACATAGGTTTTCGCTTTTCTGGCCCAGTGGTTCTTGAAAACATGATTTTTAAAGATTTTTCATATATATTTCAATGTAAAAGTTGGATTCCCCATTGTGGCCTCGCTCTACCCAAGGGATCATGATTTGAACAATTTAGAATCTACAATACCCTAGGTTGCTTCCACATAATTTTCAGCTTTTCTGGTTCATTGGTTCTTGAGAAGATTTTTAATGACCCCACCCTATTTTTTTCTTTTCTTGATTATCTGTCCTTGTAAGGGGACTTGGTCATTCATTGTACGCTAACAATTATAACTCCCTTTTACCAATGGATTCTTGTAGCAAGTTAAAATTGGCCTAGTTGTTCTTGAGAAGAAGTTGAAAAAAGCGAAAAGTATACAAATGGCAGACGGACGACGGACTACGGGTGATCAGAAAAGCTCACTTGAGCTTTCAACTCAGATGAGCTGATAATAACTATTCTAAAAATCTTCTTTTTGCCTTACACAAAAATATTAACAATAGTGAAGGAAAAACTTCAGTAGTACTAGTACTGTATGGATAATTAATTAACACTATGTACTTCCATAATATGTTTCGATATTCATGTATCCCTGAACTATAATGAAAGATACCACAGAGTCTGACACATGTTTCATTTTGCATATTTTATTAGAAAAAGACGCTCCTGGTAACATAGCAACATTTTTTTTTAAAAACTCGATGACATTCAATTTTCTATCGTTATCATTTCTTATTTATGCAGGAATGATTTTAGTTGATTGGGTGAAAAAAATATACTTAACTCGTAAGTTATTTTGTAAAATATTCACATTTAGTTCTGCAGTACAACCGGTCCCTTGCAAATGCAACCATGAGACGTTTGTATGTTGTGCATGGTACTTCATTTCCATGAAAAACTCAACTTGAACATAAAACGTGCCATGCGCTTAAGTATGTTTATGACAGTAATAATTGTAGGTCAAAAGCACAATTCAAGGGTTAAAATATATAATTTCTTGTTGCATTGAAAACTTTGTTGTCTGAGAAACATAAGAGGTTTGTTTTTCTACACATAATTCAATACATTGTGTAAATCATAAATCGTAGCAGAGTGAGATGAAGGCCTAGAAAATGAAACATGGGTTATTCCTTACTCCTTAGCGATTATCTTACTACTGTTGATCAGACCATAAGCATTAGATCTTATATCTTTCAGAACTAACTGACTTGATATACAATGTATATTGAGTATTTGTCACGTGCATATCCATATTTATGCGCATTCTTCATTATAAGTAGAACAAGTCTTACGCACAAAGATCAAGTGTACTGGATAATTGCTTTTAACAGTATGACTTCTTAAGAGCCTATGAACATCAAATCCTGCATGATAAATAATGCGAACGATATTAAACATAACAACTTGGGAGATTATATATCAGACTTTAATTGCAAATCGAGCTATTTCAAATGAAATATATCACGGCTTTCATAAAATCGTCAACAAAATTCCAGTAATGTACAATAAATCTTTTAAAAACAACCTTTTTTCAATATATCACCACCTTAAAAATAGAAATGTAAATTTAGAATAATTTCATTCCATTGTTTGGAATAATTTTTACAATAATTAATAAAAGGTACAATAAATGTGGAAACATCAAAAAACGTATCACATTTTTTTTAAACGCACAACCAGTCCATTTCAAATTTTCCCTCAGTCCTTCTTGTACTTGAAGAAGAATTTATGAACTTCGTTTGTTTGAATCATTTTTGAAAAACGTGGTCTTTACCACTGTTTCCTAAAAACAAAAAACCTATCTTGAAGCTCTAAATCTGTTTTCTAAAAATATTTCAGATTTAAGTAATCTTTGTTACTAAATCTGTTCGCACTGTTTCTGACGAAATGAAAAAATAACTATTTTACTCTGAAGTCTCTACATTTAGAATAAAACATTTAGACTGAAAATTAACTCCAACTTGTAAAAACAAGAAAAGAGTAAGATCGTATGCCGACATAGCAAAATAATAGAAAATATAACATCCGAATGTTGTGGAATATAAAGGTTGTACATGAAAGTTGTATCTTCTTGCTGCTTTTATGGTTTGTTTATATTAGCTTTTTTTTTTAACTTTTCAAGAACCTTAAACCGATTAATCATTATATTTTACTAATGCCCGTACATCCCCCTTTTCATTGAAAGAAAAGTTCTGACGTTTAAGAACTTAAACGTATTTACAAAGACAACGAAATAGAATCGTAAAAGTGTTGTTTTATGAAAAACTTTGGCGGGAACACGACCTTAATGAACACACTTCAGACCGCAAACGGATCCTGCAGACATATTTAGATTTTCTGATGTTTACAATCACTTGAAAGTGATATTTGGACGGACTGTCTCCTTTCTGCCTTTCTATATTCCTCTTGTTTAAGTCAGTCTTAGTATCATGTAGATCCCTGTACTCGGCCTTGTTCTCTTGATTCTCTTTCTCTAATGAGAGCCGCCGCCGAGGTTTCTGAGCCATTACTTTCCCTCAAGTTATCATTGTTCAACGACGTCTCTACCACGATCTCCTGCAAGGCTATACTGTCTACTGTTCGTAGACTTATATCTGAAGATGCAACGAAGGTTTCAGAATCCGACTGAATTGTTTGTTGAGGAATAAACTCTTGCATGCCGTTACAAAGAAAATTGAAACGTGGAATGTTTTCTTTTGTTGTCTCTTTCCTGTTTGTGTTGAGTTTCTCGTCATCAACTGTACACAGATTCTTGTTGTCATAGCGACGGAGGTAACCGAGATTGTTTCTAGTTGTCAAGTGTGACTGACATACTCTTTGGATGCCACGCGCAGCTTCCGTGTTTTCAAAGTCATTGGCTGTCTTGCAAAAAGATCTAACCAGTCTTTGAATAGTTGCTAAAATCAACCATACATTTATCACAGAGAAAAAAATAATACTTAGAAAAAATACCGTTAAAGTTGTGTAATGCATCACAAATGGAGTCTCGTGAAACATTGCAATAACCAGGAACACAACTGGTACAATACCACGGAACACTAAAGTTAGGGCACAGTTCATAAAAGACAACTTCGAGTACAGTCTTGTCCCATTCTTACCCAGCTCTTTAAGTATTTTTGAAAGTTCAATAATCGTCGAATTGGTCTCCATTGTCATCCCTACTAATGAGAGTAGTAAATTTTGGTGGTATGCTAAGAATACAGAGTAACATACGACAGTGACCACGTGATGCATGGAATCCGTTTTTATCCGGGAACGGTCACTTTCTCCGTACAGGTATATATTTACCGAAATGAGGTAGATATATCGTCCAATATTTATTGCCAAAAGAATGCCCACAAAGTCGTTGATTGTTGAACTAGAATTTCTACTAAATGGGTATCGTATCACGTCTGATCCGCAAAGTGCCCCAAAGCTAAGGATGACGACAATCCATATAAACAACTGCTCTGTCAATCTGAAAAAAATGTGTTAAATCAATTAAACTTTCTTTAGACTTTTGTTATTATATATCCAAGTGGTGTTGTTTTGAACCTAATTCTACCGTCCGAGCATTGAAATAGTCAATACTGTACTAAATCGGTTCTCAGACATTTCGTTAAACTATTAATATTGGCGAATTTGTCAAACCTTAGTGACTACATCTGAGAAGTATATAATGAGGAGTAATAGACGTGTGCATCTACAGAATTTAATAATTTATAAATGATACAGACTCAGCTAACATTTTACATTCCTCTGAGATAAATATCCGATAGTATTGTACAATCCCTTCAATGTGAAACGAAGATAAAAGTTTTTTTTTTGTAATTCATATCTGCAAATTTTGCAACAGAGCAGCAACAGAATTTTGACGACCTGTCAGGACCTAAAATCAAGCGTTCAGAGTACGATTTCAGTCATTGGTACACCCAGTAATGATGAGAGGTGTCTATAGCAAACAGAGATCAGTGAAAATAAGCGAACCGTCAAAATGGAGCAAACAAACTTCCGTAATGCTACAAGAACGACCTTACAATTTTTTATTGTGCGCACAATTATGCGCCCCATGCTTGGTCTCTCCTAGAGATTAGTGCCTCTAAAACTGTATGGGATCAGCTGCAGTCCATTATACTCAAATAACTCAAAATAGCAACCAGTCTCAATGACTGAACAATGACCCTTTCATTAAGATATAATAGGAAAGGGAAGAATAGAAAGGTATTAAATGGTCAATGGCATCTCGCACAAATGAATGTAAAAAATGAAATCGAAATATAATTTTGACCTGAAGAAAACATCAAATAAACAGCAATGGAATTTTGTACATATAAACCTGGGTCCTATTTAACCGGACATTCCCTGAAGTAAATGAATATTTAGGGAAAGGGTTACAATAAGTATTTATAAATCTTGGAACAATTATTAACCATTTGAAGAAAGTGGTCTTTGAAGTGGTATTTGAAGAAACTGAATTACCGTTTGTGTCTACGTGTAAAAACGAAAATATTTTCAGTTTTCTTTCTTTACGTTGTTCATACATTCATATTATACATGATTAGTTCTTTAGTAGTTCTTTACATCGTGGTGTACAACCAGTTTAAATGTAGATTAAAATAGGGTGATTTCTTTCTCTATTTTCAAAAACATAAAACATAAAAAAATTACAATAAATAACGGCTCAAACGTTTCGACACGTCGATAAAAATAGACGTTTTTATTACTAATAAATGCAAGCCCAAGTTGGAAGTTCTGCATGTTCAACGGTAAATCTATATATAAATCAATAATGAAATAAATGTCCAGAGTTTCATTAAATTATCAAATAAATACACGGAACAATCCTAGTGATAATAAATAAAAAATAAAAAAAAATGTGTTAATTTATTTGCGAGAATAACATTTTCTTCCAGTAAAAATAATCGTGCTGATGAACTGAAAGTAAACGTGAACCCGGAAGCGCGGCACCGTTATGGACATATCGATCGACGTCCTTTGTATATCAATGTTGTGCGTCAACAATGCAAGGCAAATCCTGAAGGATTTAGCCAGTGTGTATATCTACATCTTTATTAAATCAGAAAGTACTGATGCGTTCTTTATTTCTCTTCTTTCGAGTTGCTCAAAAGAAGCACAATATGATCGATTTCGTGTGGAACACCGGAAGCCTCAAAGTCCGTGATGAAAGTGTTTTCCTCCAAGCATTACACGTACGATATTTTGTAGCATGGAATTGCTAATGTTAAGTATGGCTCTTTATTTTTGCCTTTTTCAGATATTAAGTTGTAAAGCTTCCTATCGCTGGGTAATATAATTTTTTGTATAGAATTTTAACACCCAGTCTTACACATGTTCAATGCTTCTCCTTGATTTTATCTTTAGGTAGCCGTTTACAGAGAATGAAGGTACAGAGTGCACTCCTCAGATTCCTTTTTTTTCAACATTTAAATGTGTAAAACTTCAATTGCAGTCATTCGGATTTTATATTGAATTTCGTTTATTTACAACAAATATATATGTATATGTACAATGAACATTAATTAAAATGTACTGCACACAGTGTTCTTTGCACGATGCTCAAATTTTTTACTCCATAAAATTCCTAAACCGTTTACATAGATATTTATTGGTGCCTGAAAGACATCAAAGTGGATCCTAAAGAGAGTTATGCATAAAAATGATTCAGTCTCTTTTTAATTAACAAGGAACCAGTCCATCCAGTGAGGCCAATACAAATCATTACGCAGATTCTAAATTCGTGACGGCCCAAGAAGAACGAACACAAGATAAACTTTGTCCTGGCCTGCATGCAAGTACAAGCGTATTCAAAGACTACATTACAGATATTTTTAAACAATATGAGATATGTACATGTACATACTTTTAAATTGTAATAAGGGTGGTTCTCAGTTTTAAATGATAATTTAAAATACAATCCAAATGACATTGTAAGGATTATTTCGAATCTGGACCTCACCCGAAGTGTCTGATGAATCGGTACCTCTACTGAACTAAATGAACTTATATTAATGATACGCTTAAAACAAGGGCACTATAAAGCGGAGCATTCCCTTATATAAGTCAAGGCAGCAATTCACATCTATCCATACGCAAATCACGTCACTTCCGTTACACACACAAGGGCAAAACTATCTCACCCACCCACACACACACGTTACTTTATCCCGCCAACTCCATTGCGAAGGAATGATAATAATTTCATTTTTGTCCCCCGCTTGAAAAGTGGGGGATATTAATTTGGGTTTGTCCGTCCGTCCGTCCGTTCGTCTTTCTGTCTGTCTGTAACGCTTTCGTTTCCACACGATATCTCGAGAACCCTTTGAGCTTTTGCAATGAAATTTAGCATAGCAACTCCCTATGGACTAAAGAAGACCCCTATTGATTTTGAAGTCAAAAGGTCAAAGGTCAAGGTCATAAATAAGCAAATTCTGTCTGTTAAAACACTTTGGTTTCCACATGATATCTCTAGAACCATTTGAGCTATTGCAATGAAATTTTATATAACAACTCCCTGTGGCCTAATGAAGACCCTATTGATTTTGAGGTCAAAAGGTCAAAGTTCAAGGTCGTAAATTTATACATTCTGTCTGTGTGTAACACTATCATTTCCAGGCGATATTTCAAGAAGATTTTGAGCTTATACAATGTAATTTTATACCAAAACTCCCTAGGACGTCTCTCGCCCCTCTCAAAGTGCCCCGCCCCCTTTGTTTTATTAGTATTTATAGTATTACATCACTACATGTCGCTATTTTTAGCGCAGGGGCATGAGGAGAGTTATTGCGTATAAAACAGGTTTTCGGCGGACTTTATGTTCTTATTACATCTATAAGAACTGTTTAATAAAGGCTAAATAAATCAAACACCATGGATTGTGTAAAATTTTGAGAATACCGAACATGAAAACATGAATATATACATGTATGCGACTTCACTTCTGCATATACTTCACACCGCGTATAGCGATTCCGTGGTCTAGTGGTTATGTCTCTCGCTTCAAAAGAGAAAACAAACAAAAATTTGTCTCTCGCTTCAAATGTGAGAGGTCCCGGGATCGAATCTCGATCGATCCTTTCTTTTTTTTTTTTTTAAATACTTTTTTTTTTACTAAATGATAGTATTCAGCATGTGAAATGAAAAATTTATGAGGTTATAAAATCATCATTACAGTGTGATAAATATTCCACATAAAAAAATCTTCTATACACATAATAAAGAATAAGCAATCAAATCGACAATTTGACATATATTTTATTTGCTTCAGTATACATGTATACATTTAATAATTCTACAAATTCAGTCAGGGGGAGCCGACTTTTTCCCTAAGCGGAGGACACGAATTCTCTGAATTAGCTTGTTGGTTTTCGTTTTGTGCATCAATACATGCACAAAATATATTTCTACCTGCAATTACTCAAAAGTGAGAATTTGATTGAACAGACAGACCATGTAAAAATGTTTATAAAGTGTACTTTGTGTTGCGCTGGATGGGGGAAAGGGCAGTATTAATTGTAAATTTACCATCAAACCCAAAATTACATTCTTGTCTGAACAATTTAGATCTCGAAACTTAATTACTAATCAATAAATTTATTATTTTTTATTGTTTTAATCAGTTTATTCATTTTTCTGACGGTCTTTTAAAATATTTTGCAACATTTAATCGTGGACATTTTTTCAGACCTTAAAGTATCTATGTCGTAATTAAAATCTATGTCGTAATTAAAATTTAGCAATTTTGAATTTTTGACATGCAAGTTACAAATCGTATAGTGCCATACTACGAACCTTTTCGGAAACTCTACTTTGTAGTACTGTGTTGTAGTAACGCCAAAAAATCTTAATTTTGAAATTTTCACAATTGACCATGACTTTATATAAATGTTATAAGACAATTAAGTATGCACGTGTGAAGGTTTTTCTAATTCTATACTCAGAATGCACTGTAGATGAGGTTTCTGTTATCAGGAAAAGAAGGAAATTTTGACTTTGTTCAGTTGTTTTATGGTCTTCGAGTTGGTGACTCATAGTCCTTTTATTTCTTTATTGCGTCTTTTTTTAAGCAAAGAAAAAAAAAAAAAAAAAAAAAAAACCAACAACAAAAAACAAGTGATAAATCTGTCGACTTTCTGAAATTTGAATTCTTCTCTTATTTAGGAAGCATTAAAGATCCCTTTATCTGGAAACCTAACGAGGAAGTTTTTCGAGCTGTCAATGAATTTTAAATTCTGTTCTCGCTCCCCGGTAGAGAGGTCGCCAATCGCCAACACCTAAGTCTCATCTCACGTTACCTCAGTTAGATTTTACCATCATGCATTTTTTTTTTCAAACCCCAAAGTAAACAGACACAAAGCCAAGTCACTGCGCAACATCTTCGCTAGCTAAGGGTGACGATCCGCTCCTCTTGAAAAGAGGAGAGGGGCGGATCGTCACCCTTGGCTAGCGAAGATGCTGGGCACAGGCTACCCTAGATCAACATAACCGTCTATTTTCCCCACAGTTCTCAATTAGGGTTTTTTTTTTATTTTCCTATTTCTCTATAAGATTTGCAAAGGGAGGTACGTATATTGCTGATATTTAATATATTTAGGTTATATGAACACCAAATGACTCACTTGATTATTTCACACTCGAAAGTAAAAATAACAATTTTACTGCACCTGGAATATATCTTTTTACAAAATTTTAATTTAATTGTACTATGAATGTCACCAAATGTGTTTAAATTGCGGCGCTAAAGTTACTGAAATTTAGTTCGATTCTTTGCAAGTAAGAGTGTTAGAATCGCGGGTAGAGTCAGGAAAAGATAAGACTCTATACTTGGAAGTCATCATATCCGGTGTTATGACGCAAATGTTTTTTTTTTAAAAGGATATCATATATAACTCGTATATACAGTACATATAGAATCAATACTGTCAACGATTATACTTCCGAAAGACAAACTAAAAATCATTAAGGAGTTGTAGGTACGAAAAAAGAATGATTATGAAGGATGTCACATACAACAAATCCTTTTTTGTACATTTCTGAAAATGGGAAAGTTATAAAAACGTACTCTTAATTCCTAATCTCGAACTTCAGTATTTTCACGCGATTCATAAGCTCTAAGGGGAAACGTTTAATACACACCGTTTTTGAGTCTTAACCATTAGCAACAATTTACGCAAGAGACAAACTGGTTGCTAGGAAGTACGTCTGTGAACGGCGAGCTAAGAACAAGCTACCTTCATAAATTGTCAAGATAAAAATTGAACCATTTATCTATTATTTTACAAAGATTAAATGATCAATATAGTATTTATAAGGGATTATCTTTTCCACAGTGAGCAACATTTCCGGGTATCGCCTCTGGTATCAAAAAATAAAACCCTGACGTCAAAAAATAACACCCTGACGCGTCCTACTCGGAATGAAACCTCTCGGTGTATAGTTTTAGTGCAGAAATGTGCATTAGTGCAATATTCAGTTAGCAGTAGCATGTCAACTTTCAAACAGCGAAAACAATTAATTCATATTGTCAAACAAGTTATTATTCAAGACGTTAAGTTCGTATTGAAACACATTTGAATTCCCCTATCTCTTACGTAAATAATTTAACTGGTTGATTTTTAATTTGGACTGAATGACCTTTCTGTACCAACTAAAACATTTTTGAGTCATGCATATGTTTTCCATCTACGCTAGGTCTATGGCGCTAGCCAAGGGTTTTCGGACCGAAAACCTTGGAGCAGAGCGGACCGATAACCCTTGGCGAGCGAAGATGGATATTTTTAGATGAGTTTTCCTTACAGGCTCGTAGGAGGTAATTTTAGTTGGGAGGGGGGGGCACAGCAGTACATTTTCAGTTGGGGGCACTTATTATGGAGAAGGCATAAATGTATGGTAGCTATGTTTTCTACAGTGTATAGTGTATATACATCGGCAAAATTATTGGGGGCGCCCTCCCCGCACCCCGGTTCCTATGGCCATGCCTAATGATTGTCCACAACTTCATGTTTCCAGAAGGAAGCATTCGTAGATAGGAAAAATCCATTGGGGGAGGAGGAATCTCTTAACAACTTGGATGATACTAATTTTACATAAAGACTGAGATTCTTATGGGGTTTCACATTGCCAATGAGGTTCATGTTTTTCTTGGAATTTTGTTAGAAGCCCGCATCACCCTCCCTCTCTCCCTTCCCCTAATCAAGACGCGCAAATGGACTACAATGTTAACAATTAAGGAACACTTTTGAACGACAGAATCGTTTTCCATCACGACTGTAAATTTTTTTTTTGTAAGGTCTAACTTTACTTAACATTTTCCTAAATTGAACTACCAGTAATTTCTAGAAATTTTGTCGGTAAAATAATTTCCGAACAACGTACCAAAATCCCCTGTACTTTGTCAAACAAGAGAAACAGGGGCAATGTTTTTATTTTGCCTCGGGAAAAAGAAATTCAAAATATGATTTTATTTATCATAAATGTAATGGCTTCTAACGATAGCAAATCAGTAAACCATTCAAAGTCATTTAAATAAAAAAAAACAAACTAAGAGGAACGGCTAGGAATGAAGGATCTTTACGTTTAATTATTAATATATACAACAAGCATTAATAATATCCTAAACATAAAATCCACAGAAAAAATTCTCATAATATCTCTGTTAAGAATACTCACACTTTTGGTAAGTAATGTGGTTTTGAATTATACGTCTGGCAGACAGCGACTATTGTTCCACATTTTTCGCAGCAACATTTTGAAGATAGTCGTCTTTGAATTCTCACGAAAAGGCAGTAACATAATATACAACAATTAACAGTAAGAGAGACCGCAAGAAGCTCAAAAGATCTGAACATGACGTTATCCCGAACAGCAGCCAAGAGATTGCTCAAGCAGCTCTGCAACATTGAAAAGAAACGGTAAAACTTCCGGTCACCTGTTTTTGTCTAAGTCTTGTCAAAACTTCCTCATCTTGTAGAATTCCTTTTATTACTTCCTCTGTTGCACTTTAGACATGTCTTCCATTGAATTCTTTTAAAAAAGTACGTTGATTGTGAGATAACGAGCCCCCCTTGTAAAAGAATACACATGTCATATCATCAAAGACTCATTCTATTACTAGCTATGTAAATATCGATTCATTTTCCTCACTAACCAATAGCTGAAAAGATCCACTTCCTTGTTCTAAATATAGAATGTAAATAGGCCTCCGATTGATGTAGGTGGGATTAGAAAATTACTGAACACAAGCAAATTTCACAGCAATTAAGAAAATTACCAACTTGAGTGCCCTTCATCCCAGATTGGATGCTGGTTATTTGATTACAGATAATCCATGGTACTCAATTCGGTTGTTAGTTAATAGCACGGTTTTTATCAAATGGGAAGTTTAAATCAATCCCCTGTTCAACATAGAAACACACTGCTCGATATGTAACTGTGTACTCTGTCAGTTACTCAATGATTGTAAATCCTCAATCGATCACACAGTAATGCTTATATATGAGATGGATGGAGGAGTATATATATGATCCCCATACTCTGTCTTAAAGAATTAATTATTGCTCTTATCAGTAGTTCATAGAAAAATTGAGATATCCGATTCCCAGAAACTTGAACTAGTTAGAAGTTTAAATTTTGGAACATACGTGTTTAAAGATCTAAAGATAAGATATTCTTTTTCTAAAAAAAAATTACAGTTTGACTTATTATATAACAGCCCCTTTAAATGACCCTAGAGTTTCCCATACTTCTTTCAAAACCAGCATATTAAATGTGACACTCTTTAACTTTGTCATTTCGCAATAATTGCTAAATAGTTTCCTTTTAAGTGATCCATTAATCATTTATATAGGAAAAGGAGTCCGCTGTTAATTTTAGACAAGTTCCACATAAAGAAAACTAGTATTAAACAGAGGTACCTTTCAACCTCATCACCCAGGTGAAATCAGTATTACATGTAAAATGTTATCTTTGTTTCATTGCTTGATGTTTTCCACTCTAAACTTAAGACTCCCATACTCTAATTAAATATACTGGCTTTGGGACAATTATATACTGAATTTATTTAAGCGAATATATAATATTTATTTATTGCGATGTTCCGAGGGTCCTTAATATTTAGCTTTTCTTTCTCTTCGTACGACTTGTTATTGAAAAATATGTATTTGAAAAATACTATGTACATGCACTCGGATGTAAGATGCCAATGTCCTAATATAGTTGTGTACTGTGTGTTTTTATGCCCCCCGTAAACGAAGTTTCAGGGGTATATAGTTTTTGTCGTGTCCGTCTGTCTGTACTTCTCTCTGTATATCTCTCTGTCTCTCTGTTTGTCCGCAAATACATTAACCTTGCCCATAACTTTTGATTTAGTGGAGCTATGATTTTCATAATTCACATGTGTATTCCTTGTGACAAGACCTTTCTTTGGGTACCACCAAATTTGACCTTTTAACCTTCACCTTAGAGTTTTACCCACTTAAACACAAAAATTCCAAACTTTTACTTTGGCCATATCTTTTGAACAGTAGTAACGAGGACATTTATACTTCATATATGTATTCTTTGTTGAAAGACCTTTCATTGAATATCACGAACCTTGACCTTTTGACCTTGACCTTGGAGATTTTTATACTTGTGAAAAAACTTTAACCTTGGCCATAACTTTTGAACGGTAAGGGATAGAGTTTTCATACTTCACTTATGTAATCCTTGTGAAACGACCCTTTATTGGATACCAAGAACTTTGACCCTTTTACCTTGACCTTGGAATTTGACCTACTCTTAAAAAGCAAACCTTGACTATAACTTTTAAAAGGTTATGGCTAATGCTCTCATATTTTACATATTTAATCCTTTTGACAAATTGTTTCATTCATAGCAAGACTTTTGACCCTTTGACCTTGGACTTTGACATACTTAAAAAAAATTAATCTTGGCCATAACTTCTGAACGGTTAGGGAAAGGGCTTCTATACTTGACATATGTATTCCATGTGGCAAGACCTTTCATTGAATACTAATTAACTTGACCTTTAACCTTGACCTTGGAAATTTTGTACTTATGAAAAACTTTAACCTTGACCATAACTTTTGAACACTAAAGGCTAGTGATCTCATACTTCACTAATGTAATCCTTGTGAGAAGACCCTTCATTGGATACCAAGAACTTGGACCCTTTGACCTTGACCTTGGAATTTGACCTACTTTTAAAAAGAAAACCTTGACAATTCCTTTTAAAGGGTTAGGGCTAGTGTTTTCATACTTTTCATATTTAATCTTTCTGACAAGACCTTTCATTTGATACCAAGACCTTCGACCTTGACCTTGGAGTTTGACCTACTTTTTAAAATTTTATCCTTGGCCACAACTCCTGAACGGTAAGGGCCAGACCTTCCATAATTTACATGTGTATTTTTTGTGGCAAGACCTTTCATTGGATACCGATGACCTTAACCTTGAAGATTTCTGTACTTATGAAAAAATTTTAACCTTGGCCTACTTTCATAATTCACAATTGCATTTCAAGTGAGAATACCCTACTTTTGGTACCAATTAATTTATTAAATTTTCATTAAAGAAAATTTTTATCTTTGCTTTGTTGTCATACGGAGGCATCAGTGTTTCACAAACATATCTTGTTGTTTGTGAAAATGTCTTTGTGGTGTGCCCGCTGAAGTTGTTTTAATTTACATAAAAATCAAAATCAGTTGCTATATCTTAATCTTTATGGTTGCCAGTTTTTATATCATGACAGGAAAGACTGGGAAAGAGATTCACGGTAAAAGTGTTGACATTTATTCTCAACATTTCCAACAAAATGTCTTTATTTAGGAATCATCTTCGCTAGCCAAGGGTTTCTGATACGCTGCTCTCATGATGAGAGTAGTGTATCAGAAAGCCTTGGCTAGCGGAGAGTAGCGTATTAGAAACCCATGGCTAGTGGAGAGTAGCGTATACGAAACCCATGGCTAGCGGAGAATAGCATATCAGAAACCCAACCCAAGTGGAGAGTAGCGTATCGGAAACCCTTGACTAGCGGAGATGATTGGGAACTAAAGACAAACATTCAGCAAATTTATTAGGCAACCAAACCAAAAATGTAAATAGATCTTGAATACATACTTTAAATGAATTGGAATTGTATTACAACATAGTACCACATTTTGCAGATTTCTTATTTTTATTAGAATATTATTGCAGTTCCAGTTTTACATTCCACGTGAAGGAGTTTCAGTATAACATTCAATGTGAAGGAGTGACAGCTTTACATTCAATATGAAGGAATTACATAATTACTTTCCATGTGAAGGAATGGATTACATTCCATATTGAATGAATTACAACATTACATTCCATGTGAAGGAGTTACAGCTTTACACACAATGTGAAAGAATTACATTATTACATTCCATGTGAAGGAATTACAGCATTACATTCCATGTAAAGGAATTACATCATTAATTTCCATGTGAAGGAATTACAGCATTACATTCCATGTGAAGAAACTACAGCATTACTCTCCATGTGAAGGATATTCATCATTACTTTCCATGTGAAGGAATTACAGCATTACGTTCCATGTGAAGGAATTACAGCATTACATTCCATGTGAAAGAATTACATCATTACTTTCCATGTGAAGGAATTACAGCATTACATTCCATGTGAAGGAATTACAGCATTACATTCCATGTGAAGGAATTACAGCATTACATTCCATGTGAAGGAATTACATCATTACTTTCCATGTGAAGAATTTAAAGCTTTTCATTCAGTGTGAAGAAGTTACATTATTTCATTTCATGTGAGGGAATTACAACATTACATTTGATATGAAATAGTTACAGCTTAACATTCAATGTGAAGGAGTCCAAATAGTATATATACTATGTGGAGTCATAGTATTGTATAAAATGTAAAGGAGTTACCGTATGATATTTATTGTGAAATATGAACTTTTTAAAAAAAATCAAATCAGTGATAAAGACAACAACAAAAATAAATACATGTACATATATATGTAGGGTTTATTTTGTCTCCATAAAAAGTTAAGCACGTATATGGAGCACTCAGTTGATAAATAGGTTACTTGTTCAACGGATACGACAAGTGTATCACAAATAAAACATAATAATGTATACAGAGGGGCCAAACAAATGAAGCTAATGGATTTATCGAAGTAACCTCCGTTAATGAACATGTTGAAACGTCATGGCCTCAGTGTGTACCAGAAAAAGGACATTCATGAACCTGATTTAGCGACAAAATGGTAGATTGAGCACTTAGGGAAATGTTCATAGTAACATGAAGTTTCATTTTGAATTGATTGGAAATAAAAATCCTGGTTTACTGTGATGTGATATACTCCTTGATAATGCTTGTTTTCAAAATGGTTAACACGTAAATCCTAATGCAGTTTAGGCAAAAATTATCATTTAAAAATTAAAGATTCATGTTTTGAGAAAAAAATCAATCTGATTCTTCTTAATCTTCTTTGCACTGGGAAAGTTACAAGAGGAAAAACGGAGGTGATGGATAAAAAAAAAATATGAACTGATAATTAAGGTGCGGATAAACGGAGAGAGAGAGAGAGAGAGAGAGTGTGTGTGTGTGTGTGTGTGAGGGTGTGTGTGTGTGTGTGTTGTATCGACCTGCAAATTTTAAATGTTTACAAACACTGAAATCTCTATATACAACTACCTTGACGTAAAAAAAGAGAACGGAAGTGAAAAACTTGATCCAAATATCCTAGCATAGTAAACATTTGTGGAGTTTGTACACAATCTTAATTTTGCAGTTGATAAAATAATATTTATTTGAAAAACCTGTTATTTCTATCCTAATTAAATGTTTGTAGGTTTACTATTTTAAGAATGCTTCATCATGAAATAAATGGATATAACCTTCATCATTAAATAAATGGAGATAACGAACAGTATTCAAGCTCAGAAGTCCATTAAACAATACAAAAAAGAAACAGAGCAAACACGAACCTCCAAAACATCATAGGTGAGATCAGATGCCATGGAAGAGTGAGCATCCCCTGCCCACCAGTCATACCTGCGTGGTGCTCCTTGTCATGATCGGGAAATAACAGAAAAATCCGTCGTCGTTTAAGTGTATAAATAATGGACTAACAATTGAAAGAAAAACGTCAGTCAGCATTTGACTCAATATTAAATTGTATTTGCTGACAAGGTCAACCATAGAACCGACGAAATGACGACTTTAAACGAGACTGCTGATATTCTTGTTTCATTAACTTGTTTGTCAATAATTTACCTCGTTTTAGAAATTGTTCATACGTAGTGCATGCTCTCGTGTATCGAATCAACTGAGAAATATAAACCCCGTATGCAGGTTATGAAGGTATATTGCTCAATAAGTAAGGGGAGTTGACGACTGAAATGTTAAAGTCATCATGTTTATCATAGAGCTTGGTT